GGTGAGTGGGCATCATGCAGACCCACGATGGGTTGATTTACAACGACTGCAGAAGTTTTCTTGTTAGGGATTTTTTTCATGTTGCCTCCGAATCCATTTTCTTAACGAAGTGATGGCTGTTGAATCATACAATCTGAACTGTTTATTGCATATTCTTCAGCTGTTAATGTTCTTCCGCGGCAAAAGGACACTATAAGTGCCATAAGTTATGTACGGAAATCATTTTGGTGTCATAACTTTTTTTCGGATGACTTTGGTGCCAAGTCGGAGGAAAAGAGATCACTTTAGTGACTCCGGCCAAAATTCCGGCCAAAAAAAGAGCCACGTCAGATTTCCAGCGAGCCACGTCAGATTTCTGGTGAGCCATGTCAGCATCGGAAATTAATAAAAAAAGAGCCACGTCAGATTTCCGGCGGCCATGTCAGTATTGGCACTAAAGTGATCGTTTTTCAAAAAAGTTGGCACCAAAGTAATCCGAAAAAAAGTTATGGCACCAAAGTGATCTCCGTACACAACTTATGGTACTTATAGTATCCTTTTGCCATTCTTCCGCCATGATAACTGATTTTACCAATTGGAAATTCAAGAATAGCGTATCTTGATAAAAAACAAGACACGATAACATTCAAAATTGAAACACCCACCGGTCGTGTGTCACAAGGACCGAAGAAGTACAATGAACCTATCGAGGCTAGTGGGCTCAATCAACTCTAGGTTAGGGTTTTATATCTGGAAAAAGACTACTTTTTGTCCATGTACTCTATTGCTTTCTCTAAGAAGTCCATATATTTTTAATTTTCTTAATCACGCTTTTCTGCTTGTGCAAATTGTCTAAAAAAGTTCATGCATTTTTAATTTTCATAATAATGTTTTTTGATGTGGCTGTCGGACAAAGTTGAAGTATGATGGAGGCAATATTTTGCCAATGTTGCATCTACGTGGACGCTACCATGGGAAATAAGAAATAGAGAATAACAAAATAACTCTTACTTTTATTTTCCACGATAGAGTCCATGTTAGCAAAATGTAATCGATCTCACACTCTGGGGTTATCCCACTACAACGTCAGCTGAATTTTGGCCAATTTTGATGCCGTGGGGACTTGATTAGACAACTTGTGTAAGTATGAATCGATTAGAAAAGTTACAAGTGCAGAGACTTGATTACAGAAAGCATGAAATTATAGGAATAGACACCATTATTTCAAGACGCAAAGCAAACACACTTTCTCTGTTTTTTTTTTATTGGTTAAAAGGTCAGGAATTGGTGACCTTGCTAGCGAGCCCTTCTGGGCGTTGTAGTAATGGTTCCAGCCCTCATTGTTTTGGACAGAATAAAGCAAACTAAAGGGAAGAGAAATGTTTCTGGCAATTACGTTTTCCTATTGTTTTGGACCTCCTTTTTCTGAGCTCTATGTTCTATGATCTATCGGAAACTTGCAGGCTGCCTTACGCTTGCTCAAAGGAAGAGGACAAACCCAGTGTAACTCTTCGAAGTAACTCGAGATGGAATCCCGAAGCCCTTCAACCACGACGACATCTCATCAACCATCCAAGATTAGTCGTGATGACAACGAGAGGTCCCCATGCAAAATCAGTAGCATCTGATGGTCGCCCACCGCGATTCCAAAGAGAAAGAGGGCTTTGAGTTCAGACATCAAAACCACATTCATTTCAGCTGAATGAAGCTTTAATGTTTCAATCGGGACCTCCGGGCAAGTATTGCAGACTTCTTGATCTTCCCATTTCTCTGCCGAGGGCTCACCTGCTATTTCATGAACAAGACAGTTTTTACGTGTGCTCTTTCTTTTTGGTAAGATAAAAAGTAGGACGCCCTCGTAAGGTGCTGCTTCTTTTCATACCTTATTGTTAGCTACGTTTGTAATACCTCGTAATTGGCTTCGTTGTGATGTACCTACACTTTTAAATAGGGAAAGTTGTCCAAAAACACTACAAAAAAACATGAATTTTGCGACGGAAATTTTTCGTCGCTAATTTGCGACAAACTTTGCGATGGATTTCTAATTCCGTCGCAAATTAGCGACGAAAAATTTCCGTCACAAATTTGCGACGGATTTATTTTCTGTTGCAAATTAGCGACGGAAAATAAATCTGTCGCAAAATTCGTCGTAAATTTGCGACGGAAAATTTGCGTCGCTAATTCCGTCGCAAATTAGCGACGACTAATTTTCCGTCGCAAATTTGCGACGGATTTATTTTCCGTCGCTAATTTGTGCAACGAAATTTACCATTTTGCAACGAATTTTTTTCGAATTGGATGATTGTCACAAGTTCAAATTCAAAAGAGATTGGACGATTTGCTACACGTCCAATTCTAAAAGAGATTAGATATTACAAATTCAAATTAGATAAGAAGATCTATTATAAACTCAAGATATTAGATAATCTCTTAAAATGTTCTCGTCCCAAATAAGCTTTTTTAGATTCGATAGGTGCAAATCTTATCTTCTTTTTTTTCAAGACTTAGATATAGATAACACAGATAACTATTTAGTTGAATATGGCGGTTTCCTCCGCATGTAGCTCTTATGTATGCGGAAATATATGGGTAAATAAATTATAGCAATTTTCAAATAGATCGGAATCGGGTGGATGTATGAAATGTAAAGTCAATGTATCTATATGGGGATATGTATAGGAGATCATATAAAAGAGATATTCTTATTTAGACCTAACCAATTTGATCTAACCAATTAGATGAATTATTCCTAAAGGGTTACATCTGAATGATGAATGAATAGAGGGCATGCATTCTATTAGAGAAATATTTAGAAGATTCCCTATATTTCCTTTAATTGATTGTAATTGATATTTTCTCTTTTAGATAGTCATCCTATAAAACCGATAAATAGGTTCGTGTACTCTTCATTTGACAATGATATATATAGGCAAAAGAACACTACAAATGCCATAACTTGTGTACGGCGCTCACTTTGGTGCCATAAGTTTTTTTTGGATCACTTCAGTGCTAAAATTTTTGAAAAACGATCACTTAAGTGCTAAAATTTTTGAAAAACGATCACTTAAGTGCCAACTCCGGTGCCATACACAACTTTTCGCCGGAAATCCGACGTGGCATTTTTTTTATTAATTTATGAAGCTGACGTGGCTCGCCGGAGATTGGCACTTAAGTGATCGTTTTTCAAAAATTTTAGCACTTAAATTATCATTTTTCAAAACTTTTAGCACTTAAGTGATCGTTTTTCAAAAATTTTAGCACTGAAGTGATCCAAAAAAACTTATGACACTTAAGTAATCGTTTTTCCTCCGACTTGGCACCAAAGTGATCCGAAAAAAAGTTATGGCACTAAAGTGATCTCCGTACACAACTTATGACACTTATAGTGTCCTTTTGCCGATATATATATATATATTGCTCTTAATTTTTTTATCACATTCTTGACTTGGTATCAGAGCCCTATTGTTATTTGAGAAAGCGTCAATCGAGTCTGTTTGTAACAACGACATCCACATCAGTCATGTTTCTCCACAGTGTTCGTAATGCTAGTCACATCGGACCATTTCGCAACAACCTCCCGTAGTTGTTTGACATTCCTCCGCTGCTCTAATGAAAAAAAAAAAAACATCACCAGACTTGCCGCCCTTAGACGAATTAGATCATGACATTTACTAATTCGTCAAATATGAGTAATGTGTCATTGTAAGAAGCATATCTACTCAAGGTTCCGATGGAATTAGCGACGGATTCGAAAAATTGGTCGGTATAAACATTTCCGTCGCTAATTCCGTTGCAAATTAGCGACGGATTTGAAAAAATGGGCGCCATGTGCCGCGAAGATCACTTCTGTCGCAAATTTGCGACGGATTTGGAAAATGCCCTTTATTTTTGGAATCCGTCGCAAAATCAGTTGCAAATTTACGACGGAAAAATAAGTCCGTCGCAAATTAATATGTCCGTCGCAAATTTGAGACGGAAAAAATAAATCCGTCGCAAATTAGTCTGTTGCAAATTTGCGAAGGGGAAAATTAATCCGTCGCAAATTTGCGACGGAAAAAAAAATCCGTCGTAAATTTGCGACGGAAACAAAATCCGTCGCAAAAATTTGCTTAGGAAAAAAAAAGCCGTCGCAAAAATTTGCAGCGGAAAAAAAAATCCGTCGCAAATTTGCGACGGAAACAAAATCCGTCCCAAAATTTGCGACGGAAACAAAATCCGTCACAAATTTGCCACGGAAAAAAACATCCGTTGCAAAAATTTGCGTCGGAAAAAACAGCCGTTGCAAACATTTGCGACGGAAAAAAAATCCGTCGCGAAAATTTGCGACGGAAACAAAATCGGTCGCAAATTAGCGGTGAACTTAAAAGGTTCGTCGCTAAAATTGGCGACGAAATATAAAATTCGTCGCAAATTTAATTAAAAAAAGAGCGCCCCAAAGCCCCGCCCTCACCCCCAATTTCTCTCTCTCTCTCTCTCGCTCACTGTTCTCCCTCTCTCTCCCTCTTTCTCGATCATATGAGATCTGCTTCCGCTTCTCCTTCTCCTTCTCGCTTCTGCTTCTTCCCTCTCCCCCACACCCCCAAACCTCTCGCGCTCACTAAGGGTTTTCGGTACCCCCTTCCCCCACCCGCGCTTCCTCCTGCGACTCCTCCTTGCCCATGGCCTCCGGAGCCCTAGAGGTCGCAGAGGCCGAAGGGGCGGCGGCGTCTCCCCCGTCGAGGGCAAGGAGGAGTTCCCCGAGAAATCAGAGGTGGAGGAGGCAAATCAAGAGGACCGAGAGATCGCCGCTCCGGAGGAGGAGGAGGCCTCGGCTTCCGACGAGGAGGCCTCGGCCGAAGATGACGACGTGGACGACGCCCCGAAAGAGAAGGAGAGCGAGGAGAATCCGAAAGGAGGGAGCTCCGTAGAGAAACAGGGCGTGCCCAAGAAGAGGAGGAAATCGAGCATGACGCCCGGAATCGAGCGGCCCACCAGAGAAAGGACATCGGCGGAGCGGTATTCCGCTCCTGCCCTCGTCAGGCCTCCAGCAAGGGCTTCTCCATCGAAAAGGTACTGGCACGCTTGGACTCTCTTTTTTAATCTTTTTTTCCAAGGGATTAATGGCTTCCTGGTATTTCACGGTCGTGGTATACAGCTTAAGGACATTCCCAATGGTATGTTTCCAGCTTTAATTGTTTCCTCATGGTTTACAGTGGGTTGATGACCATAGCCTATTGCATTCGTGTATGATTGGTTTCTTATGTCTTTTTTTTTTGCTAGACTATAATTGGTTATAGGTTTCCAGTTGGATCCAATTGTTAACAAGGCTGCTTTATACTTGTGATGTGTTCTTATAAAATCAGAGTTTTGAGGCTTTAAATCAGCGTGCGGTTGCAGTAGTTGTGGATCCCATTTAGAGTGTCAAAGGGAAGGTGGTGATTGATGCCTTCCGTTTGATCAACCCACAAACCATGATGCTTGGCCAAGAACCCAGGCAGACAACCTCCAACCTTGGACATCTCAACAAACCGTCCATCCAAGTGAGTGCTGACCAGATAATGCGCTCTTTGAATATTGAGTTTTGATCTTATCTCCTGGGGTTGACTTCATATTTTTAGGCATTGATCCATGGGCTGAACAGACACTATTACTCAATTGCCATCAATTACAGAAAGAATGAACTGGAGGAAAAAATGCTACTTAATCTTCACAAGAAGAAATGGACAGATGGCTTGACGCTTCGCCGTTTTGACACACATTCTCAAACCAATGAACAGACTGTTCAGGCAAGTCAAGGTCTTAATCTGTCGCATCTAGATTAGAGAATTGGCTGCACCAGTCACTTAGAGGTGGATTCTGGACAATGCAAGACAAGGCCCTCTGCTCAAGCATATTTTCATCTAGTGTCCATGTTTTCCTAATTAATTAAGATCAATTAGCTTGCGATGCATATAGACTTTCATTGAACTGGATGTTGAGAAGCTGTCGTTTCTTGCAAAACGAATGATTGTTTTCAAATTCAGATCCTTGTTTTAGTTGGATTTTTATTTTGGGTGTCCAAGGCTCGGAGGAGAAAAATTTAGGTTTTATCATCCAAAAGCTAAGGACATGTGCTTTATGCTATAGGTGTAGTGTTGTTCATTCTTTGGTATATTCTCTTCCAAAAACTATTCATGAAAGTGCACTGCAAAGATCCTTTTTTAAAAGGATTGGCAAAGACCTATTCAATGAAAAGCGACAGGGCAAAAATTTATAGGTGACAATCTAAAGTCAAAGCTTTACACGATTCTTGGTGCGTACTCTGGACAGGTATGACAGATAAATTACAACGCATCCACCGCAACTATCGTGTACGAAGCAAAAAAGTCCTTATGGCCATTATGCATTCTACTTGGCCTCATTATGGCCTCATTATGGGGACTTCACCTGCAACCATTGACATGAAGCTACTTAAGTTGACATGGAGAAGGTTAGAAGGTTTGGCTGCTAGACTTGGTGGAGCCAAGAACATATTCTGTGAACTTTTTTCTGATAACAAGATTGAGAACACCTTTTGGTTGGATAGTTCGTCAATTGAGAAGGTCTATCTTGAAGAGGAAGAATGTACCTTTCAGTTTGGTTCTTGTTTATGTCATTCTTGTGGAAAATGTAGATGAATGTATTTCATTTTCATATTATTATAATATTTTGATGTTATTAAGTGCTTAATCAATGTTAAATATAAGTTCCAAAAATTAAGTTTGCTTTTAATTAGGTTTAAAATCGAAAAATAAAATAAATGATTTTATCGTACGATCACAGATTACAAAAGTTCGTTGCAAAAATAAAATTTCGTTGCTAATTTTGTCCCTAAACGATATTCGTCGCACAGTTCGTCACAAAAGAATTAGTAAAAATTCATCGCCAAATTCGTTCATGAATAATGTTAATGGCAAAAGTTAAAAAATTTGGTGGCAAATTAGCGCCGAATTTTTCCACGAATAAGTTCACCGCAAATTACTGACCAAATTTTTTTTTTTTGGGCAAATTAGCGATGAATTTTGCGACGAATATAGTTCGCGGCAAATTAGCGACGAATATAGTTCGCGGCAAATTAGCGACGAATTTTGCGACGAAATGTGCGACTAAATTTGTGACAAAATTTGCGTCGATATTTGCGACGAATTTTGCAACTACATTTGCGACGAAATTTGCGACGAATAAAGTTCGTGGCTAATTTGCAACGAATTATTTGAGATGAATTATTTGTGTTGAATTTTGCGACGAATTTTTTTCCGTCGCAAAATTTTGCGACGACCTATTAGCGACGAAAAAAATTCCGTCGCAAAAATCATGTTTTTTTGTAGTGAAATTTTGCGACGAATTTTGCCACGAATTTTGCGACGAATTTTACCACGAATTTTGCGACGAATTTTTTTTTTTTTTGATGACCCAGGGAACTCCCGCACGGCCGACAGCCGGGAGGTAAACCCTGGGGGCGACACGTGCTAGCCACCACACACGTGCACCGGTTAAGTCACCCTGCGGCACCCGGGATTCGAATTTTGCGACGAATTTTGCGACGAAATTTTTTTTCCGTCGCAAAAATTTGCGACGACCTAGTAGCAACGGAAATTCCGTCGCTAAATTTGTCGCAAAATCGATTTGCGACGGATTTTTGCGATTTTTTCGTCGCAAAATCCGTCGCAAAGAACATGTTTTTTTGTAGTGAAAGTTCAACACCTATAGCACTTTTGTCAATTTAGATATAAACCTTTTGATTTACTAATTGTATCCTAAACATTTTTACCTTTTGCCAATTGAATTCATATGATCAATTCTAACCGGAATTCACTGATGTGGAAACCGGCCATCCTACGCAACACAGCCGGTGCGTAGGATGGTCAGCGCTAACATAACAATTTATAATAATATTTTAATATTTTTTTGAATTATTTGTTGATTTTTTTTTTCCTTTTTTTCTTTTCTTCTCTTTTTCTTCTTTTCTTTTTTTCCCTTTTCTCTTCTTTTAATTTCTTTTCTTTTCTTTTTCATTTCCCTTTTCCCTTCTTCCCACCACCGGCCACCACAAGGCCTCGTACCTCAGGTGAGGGCTGCACTCGCCGGCCTCGGGCAAGGGATGCCGGAGCCTGTGCAGGGGAGGGGCACCCTGCCATGTTCATTAACAACTGTATATCGAAGCTAGCAGCTGCTTGTTGCATTGTAAACTGTGACCACCCTAACGCTGACCCTGAAGAATCCGAGCCGACATCAGATTCCCTTGATAAAGCCCGAATTCGGCAAATCCTCGTATCTTATCAATGTCTAGAGGCAGAGAGGACTTGATTGCAGCCCGCTTGTTCATTTTCCTTCTGCTTTCTGGCTCGAAACAGTTGACCCACCGCAGTTGGTCAGTCACAGCAAGAAGAAAAAATGGCTTCTTGCTCTCTTTTCTCTGCTGATTCAGCTGCAACAATCCTTTGTTCAAGAACCCGAAATGATGGTGAGTTTGGACCACGTTCCTTTCGTCTTTTGCTCTTTTTTTCCTTGTTTTTGTCAATTTTTCCTTCTGTATTTCCTGGTTTATGGTGAGTTTGGACCACGTTCCTTTCGTCTTTTGCTCTTTTTTTCCTTGTTTTTGTCAATTTTTCCTTCTGTATTTCCTGGTTTATCTGGAAAAAGATGGAGAAGGGAAAAAACAATAGCAAGATTCAAGCTGGTGGATGTTCTAATGTTTTTCTTGGTGTTGGAGCCACATGATAGGATGCCATTTTTTTCTCTGTTGATCATATGTTACGATGCTTTGTACTTTAGCTCTGTATTGTGTCCGGCGGTTTCATCTCGGTTTAGCTTAATACAAGAGTAGCAGTGGTAGAAGAAGAAGAAGAAGAAGAAGAAGATTGTCCCTTTTGGAAAATGTGACCTTCAAGCTTTCTCATAGTAGATCTCATTCTCATCTTTCCAATGTACATACAGCTAAAATCAACTCGTTTTATCACCATACCATTCTTAATCACATCCTTTGAAATCCAAAATGAAAATAGCTCTTCGAAAGCTTAATTTATTTAATTTAATTTTTTTGGATGAGTAAATTATATGCTTCATTTCATTCTCCAATGAATAATATGAGGGTAAAGCTACCAGATATCCATACTGACACAACCATAACATTCTCGCTAAAAGCTTTATTGCACTTCAACTGACATATGGATCCCATGTCTTATTCCCAAGCCAATCTCATTAACACTTGACACATGTATATCAAAACTATTGCACTGGGTCCATGAGCACCGAACGTATGTAATCTTTCAGCGTAATATGAGGATTGGTGTAATGATCTCCTCCGTCCTTGTACAGCACGTCCATCACTCGTGTGAGGTTGAGAATTCCTATGAGAAGCGGCATCGGGACAGCAGTCAGGCGAAGACACTCCTCATTCATGTCCTTCCACGCATTATCAACTTTCTTGCGAAGGTCGTTTTCCGCTTCTCGTTCCGTGACACCGAATTGCTTCATGTAACATTGCACGGCCGAGTCCGCATGTTCTCTTCCTTGCTCAAACTGCAAAGATACGTGCAACAAGACATATACACGAGATCTGATGTCACATGTTTCATAGCAGTTGGGTTGGGTCTATATCTTCATTTAACAAGTGCAAGTAAAAAAGGTACCTTATGAGTGGCCAAATCATCCATGAGCCTGCAAATAACTGTTGAAGCCTTGAGTATCTTTGGGTCGTTGAACAACCAATCTAAATTGTCTTTTGTTACCATATCTTGCATTCCAACAAAGGACGTGATCGCTACCAAGTGGTAACCACTCGTTACTTCTGCAATGGACATGTACTCATCCATTGTGGGCTTGTGTTGTTCGTGCAGCCATTTTGCTTCAGCAAAGTAGGATCTCACTTGCCTTTTCATCTGAAATGAAAAGGCAAAACATTTAATTCCTATCAATCGAGAATAATAACACTATGATTGTAGAATATAGCAGAGAAGGTACGATCTTACTGCTTCTTTCGCATAGTAGAGGGCATAGGATCTTACTGTGCAAGCCAGTATTTCTCCAATTTCAACGTAGACATCTATAAATGCTTTGTAGAAGAATCGCATATACTCTGAAAGTTCAATTATGCAATTAATGTCCCACCTGAAATTATCAGATAGGAATACATTACAGGATATTTTGAAAACCTTGCATTGCACGAGGATTTGCTAATCACAATATTACCCTAGAACTATGACAAGTTTAATCTACCAACCCCATTATCTATCAATGCAAAGGGTTGCCAATCAGATACATTTTGCCACATCTTGTAGGTCATGCTAATATGAAACAAAATCTACTTGAAATAAGACACGTGCGGTGCAAATCTAACCTTTGAACAGCTTGAGTAAAGAGCTCTAGCTCTTCATAGGTGGCATAGACATCATATAAGTCGTCAATAACTGAAGTCATTGCGATCACTTTGGTCATCATTCTTCTAACAAGCGCTAATTCGGGCTCAAAATGAACTCCCAAAATCCAAAAGTATCCTTCCACGAGCCTATCTCTTGCAAATGGTAACTTCCTCTTGAAGTCCAGACCCATCCACCACCTACATGTAAAAGGACAATATTCATAATTACTTAAAACCTTCCATAGGGTATAAACAATAAATTAAGTCAATCCTGTGATTGCGTAATTGATCAACCTTGCAAGATCAAATAACTCCTGGTGTTGCTTTTGCAAGTGGCTGAATTCTAACTTGGCCAGTGATAGTAAGACTTTATTATGCAAAGGTTCCCCTTCATACATGGAGATATATCGTCTCGCCTCGAGCCTCGGCACCCCTCGACGAATTGTTTGCTTTAAGGCATGACGGACTTGCATTGCTAGAGGTGGGCTTAGTTGCTCCTCATCAATGGACTCAAGATGGGTTAAACTGAAAGAAAGCGCTTGATCGAGAACATCTTCTCCATGCACACTCAAATGGCTAGCTTCATACAAACTTAGTAATCCACGGATGTCACTTTTGTATTTTTCACTGAACTTCCCACTG